GCTTATTAGGAAAAACTTGTCTTGAATAGTAAATGAAGCATAATGGAAATAGGCACATGTTTTAGCACAGTTCCCCCCTTTCTTACCAATCGAACATTTACATCTTTTTCAGTGCTGTGATTTTCCCCTTAAGTCTTAAGCTGGCACCACACACTTGCAGCAAATGAGACTTAACATCATTTGTATCTACAGAGAGAAAAATCTTTGTAAGACTGCATCCCAAGTACAGGGCCTTCCAAAAAGAGTTTTCTGCACTCACCCCTACCCTGTATTAGTCATTCTGGCTGTAGCATTCTAAGAACCTACAGGACAAACTCTCTTTGAAGACTGCAAATCAGCTGTCAGTGATAAGTGGTTTTAAAGTATGGCTTGCTCGCTAAGACCTGTAAATTCCAAGATACACCTGACTATATGCTTTGTTATTAAAAGATATGCCCCAGGTGGAGGCATCTTCGAAACCAATATATTCTCTTTATAACTGGTGTCAAATTGATGTATATATTAAAAAAATCTTGGAAAATGATCTCAAAAAGGAAGTAACAGCCCAATGAGCCATATGTTCAGGGAAGCTATCGGGTTTCCATTGGGACCAAATTTCACTTCACCTTTTTGTCCTTATGTGCAAATAAAAACTTATCTGTAAATATGCCATTCAAACAGCCATACAAATTTGTGAGATCTGGGGGCTGAGAGGAAACTACCCTAGGTCCATAAAACCCAAGCCCATGGAAGGTAAATAATTTTGTTGGCTATTTGATATGCATAAGGCAACAGGGAAATTGAACTACATACATTTACACTTTCAAATGCAATGCTTCTATAGAACTAGTTAACGAAGAAAAGGCTGATAAATAGTTAATAAATAAATTTTGATGTCGATCGAACCGCTGAGCCTAGTTTTACATTAATGAATGTAATTTTTCCCCTTGCTGTTAGATGGATTGCTATTTTAACAGATTCACGGATTTTTCCAAATGCAGGCTAACAGTATAGCACTGAAAAGTCTGTGATGGGCTAAGGGCAGAGGTCTGTTTCATGGTTTTCCAGAGGAGAAACCAAAAGTATTTTTACTTACTAACACTTTATAACACTGTATAACTCTTTTTTTAAAGGATTTTCAATTTTAAAACTTTTCAACATTTTAGTTGATCCTAATAGTTTTGCATTCATTAATTCTTTGGTATGCCTCGGCGTACTCTAAAGGGAAAAATGACTTACATTAAGCACTTGTGTAGCTTTCCATATACTAGAAAAACACCAAGATTCACTCAAACCACTTGATTTTATATTTATGTACTTTTATTATAAGACGTTCCAACTGAAGGGGAAAGGCAATAATATAAACGAAACCTTGTGTATGCAATAAACCTCTGCGCAATTATTTGCATCAGGATATGTCAGGGTAAAAGTTAGTAGAAAAATAAAGTTATACTGCGTGGATTATCTTGTAGCGGCTTTACTTTCACTTACCATCTATGGTTAGAGGAAAGTTTTATCATGTTAATTTAGGCACCTGGTTTGCAAACCAGCAAGGTGTCTTAGGAGACTGCCTTCCAGTTCAGCTCTTTGTTTCTGGGTTCCGCCTAAGCCACTTGAGCCACAGGGACGTCAATGTGTTTATTCTAAGACCAGTTGATGAAAAGGTAGTTTAAGTGTTTTTCTGCTCAACCATCAGTTCTGCGGGTCAAGGGGACCGTTATGAAACCTCCGCGGGGTTCCCAGCTGGCCTCAACAGGTATGGCTGATTTCAGCCTGGACTCAGTTTATGGTGGATTCTAAGAGCTGCTATTTATGCCCAGATTCTCACAGGCCAGAATACGGGGCCAACCGATCAAGGAAGGATTTCATGTCCAGGCCCCCGTCAGCTGGTGCCAGGGGTCGATGGGGGTGGGGGTTGCCGCCTTTGAAAGGTTGCATCATACCCACTACGGTTCTAGGTGGTTCTCTCCGGGGTATATGGCGCAGAAACCCCTTTAGCCTAGTCTTGGGGTCAGGAGGTCAGGTCTTGGAGGTACAACTAATCGCAAGGCTCTCTCCGGCTTATTAAAGCGCACGCTCTCAGGGCTGGGATGCGAGGGTCACAGCCTGCAGCCTTTGGGGGCCTTGACCTAGCCAACAGCTCAGGCGAGCGGGACGCGGCAGCTCGCACCAGGGTTGGAAGCCTATAGGGTGAAGGTTCAGCTCCGGCTGGGGAACCGGAGGGGAAGGAGGCGGGAGGGGTGCGGCCGCCCTGGGTCTGGCTTAGCTTTTCTGGCTCTTTCTTGCGCCCAGGGGTGTCCCTGGGTCGCGGGCCTTACTCCGGCCCCCTCGCCATCCCGCGCGTCCGCTCCCCCGCAGGCCGGCCCTGCAGGAGCGCACCGCGAACTTGGGTCCCCGGCGCCCCATGCGGGCTGCGCTCGGCCGTCCAACCCGGGTGAGGCTCGCCAGCGGCGGGGAGGACGCGCGGGAAAGCCAGGGAGCGGGAAGCAGGCGGCGGCGGGCCCGCTGGAAAGGAGGGAGCGCCGCAGGCGGGAGGACGACGCGCGGAGGAGGGAGCGGGAGGAAGGAGGGAGCGCGGCAGGCAGGCGGAGGGAGGGCTGATTAGCATGCAGCAGCGCTCGCGCGCCCGGCTCCATTGTTTTAACACCTCCCCTCTCCTCCGCGCCAATCTGTCACCGTTCAGCAGGCGAACGCTGCTGCCTCAAATGCTGCTCTTCTCAAATGAGACGGATAATTAGTTGCCCCGCACGAATGCCGCACTCTTCTCACCCCTGATTGCTATCACCTTCTTGCTCCTGGCAGTTTTGACACCTCGTAATCAGCCTGCTGCTTTTCTCTTTTCTTCCCGACTTCTGCTTCCCTCCCCCCTTCCTTCCTAGTTGATTTATTTATTTATTATTATCATTTTAAATGCAATCTCAGTGCCTATTTGGACGAGTGTTCCGCCGAGTTAACCTTGCGTATACGTGTGTGCCTATATATGCATATGTAAACTAGGGTGTGTGTGTGTGTGTGTGTGTGTGTGTGTGTGTGTGTGTGTGAGCGCGCGCTCGTGAGCAGGGGGCGGGCTGGCAGTTTTGCGGGAAACACTGCTTCCACGCGGAGAGAATTTTCTCCTAAAGATATTTTTGGGACGGGAGGAGTTGGGGAGAGGGACGGGAGGGAAGAGTTGGGGAGACCTCAATTAATGCTTTAAAGATCTCTTAGAAATTAACAAACTGGGGAGTCTCGGAATCTGCTGTCAGAAGCGTGTTTTCCCCTCTCTCCTCTAACAAGCACTGACAGTCTAATTACTGTAGCTACAAGCAGCTGTCGAGGCAGCAGCCCGGGAGAGAAGGCGCCACGGGATGAGCGCTCACCGCCGGCCCCTGCGTCCAGCCGAACCCGCCGAACCGCGGCCCGACTCCGGAGGATGCAGAGAAGAGCGAGGCGGGCACCCGGCAGCCCCGCCAGTGCCGCCAGCCCAAGGCAGGCCTGCGAGCCAGCCAGCAGACTCCCTTATTGTTTCATATTTATAAAGTCTTTACCTTGAAGGTTAAAAGATGTGAAGAAGAAAGGAGGGGACTGGTGGGGGGGAGTGGGAAGAAAAATCTTTTAAGCTTCCATCCATCCCTTTCTACCTCCTCAAGCTCTCCCTCCCCCGGTGTTGGTAAAATAACCACGCAACCCGGGGCTGAGGGGGCGGGGTGAACCAGGCTGGAGTGTAAGAAAGCAGATGTCCCCGCTGGCAGCAGCCTCAGCCTCCGGGGAAAGCTGCACCGGGGGGGCCATCCCGAGGACGTTCACCTCCCACTTCTCAGGCTTCCCGCTCACAACTGCCTCGCCTCGGCAGGGGTGGTTTTTTTTTTTTTCTTTCTTCTTCTCTTTTTTTCAGACTCAGCGTTTTGAGCACGTAGCTTTCTTACCTGGGAGCTGTTCTTACCCGGCCAGGCTTAGCAGAAGCCTAGTGGCATCCCGGGCACCAGCTCCGTGATAAGACTGAGGCACAGACCTGGCCGGTGTCCATTCTACCTTCCAAGCTGCGGCTCCTGCCAACCTCTGCAGAGCAGGGCAGAAGCCCCCTCTCTGGCGGCCCAATAGGGTCTCCGCCTTAATAAACTGTAGCTTAGGTTCAGCTGGAATCTTAAATTCCCATCTCTTACTAAAGTGGTGTCGAAAGGATTGCCAGAGAAGGGGTAGTGGACCACTCTGAATCACTTTCTGGGCGCTAAGAACCACTTACAGAGGTTCTTTTGGTTGTCAGCAAGCCAGGGAGATGTCAACTGTGTGAGAGGAGAGGAAAAAGAAAAGAATTCCTTCCTGAGAGGCAGTGGGGCAGTGGGGTATATCCTGACTGGGAAGTTTTGATGAGGTGTGTGTGTGTGTGTGTGTGTGTGTGTGTGTATGTGTGTGTGTGGTGAGGCTAGGACTGAGGGTAGAGGGAAGAGAGGAAAGTCTTTGGATAATTGTCTAGGCATTTCTATTCAGCCCGGTGGCAATAGAAAAGATGTACATGCCTCAGAACCCTTCACAGTGAATACCTAATAACCACTATGTCACCTTCGTGAGGAAGATGTCAATGTGATGTGCTTGGCACCTTGAGAAGTCGAGGTACCACTCTCATTCTTCCACTGGGTACAGAGGCCTGCTCAAATTCCCCCACGCTAAATCCTCCAGTATGACACATTGCTCAAGGACAGTACATGGAAGCCGTGTCTCTCTCAACCATTTTTAAAAATTGGGAATGGTGGGTGGTAGGAGAAGCCCAAATGGCAAGAATCATGAAGAAAGAAGGGAAATCTCATTTTGAACAGCTTTGCAGCACTGCATACTTGGTACTTTCTGACGTCCTGAGACCAGCGGCCATCAATCAGGATACTAACAAATTTGAACATTTCTAATCTAAATTAATAAATATGGATTCTCCTCTCAGGCTTTTGCATTTGTTCTCAATAAAAGGAAAAAATTAGAATGCTTAGTTTGAAAGATGATTTTAAAATTTAAAGTGACCTATTAATGTGTAATAAATGATGAGACATGAATTTTATGAACATTCCCCAAATGTCACATATTTATTTACCTCAGAAAAGAGAACACTTTTAATGATCACAACATAAATTTTAATATCTAACTCATTTAATCATGCATCTATACACATAGTAAAAATTGAAACCATGTGTATTATTTAAAAAAAAGACCTAAAATGTTTAAATAATTTTCATCGGGCAACTAATGTCTGATTTTGAATTTACTTAGGTGATTATATTGTCTGCAAATTATATTAGGTATTTTAAAAGAACATTATAGCATAAATAATTTAAAAATTCAAGTGAAATCTTATACACAATACCCTATAAACATTTGGCATTACCAAATTTAATAGATCTCATGAGTCAAACAATAATCATAGATATCTGAGACATAAATTATGATTATGTAACTCTAAGTCACATCCATAATTTTCAATTATTATAATAACAGTGTAAACATGAATATAATGAATTAATTTTACAGAAAATGATCTCAAAAGCTAAAGTAACAAGTTTAGAAAAAAATTCAAATAGTTGTGACACTGAATTTCTTTTATAAACCATCTTAAATTTAGCTTACAAGCAAGCATTCTCTGGCATTACAAATCCAGAATCATCAGAGAACGTGATATGTCTGTTTTCAAATGTGACTCAAGTCTCCCCATTAAAGTGTGAATTAAGATGCCGGAGGAAATCCTCCCTGGATGTAATGGACGGTGGGAAAAGCTCTTGACAGAATTCACACACTTGAGCTTTAAGGCATTCCGAGTCTGTGCCAGTTAGTACCACTAAGTCAGTGTCTTGGTTAAGAAAGGGCTTCCAAAAGGGCTGCAGGAAACAAACAAAAACATCTTTAGTTATTTGTATTTAAAATCAACTTGCATCGAATTTCAAATCCAAATATTTGAATGATTTTTCTATTAGCGTATATCTGAAATTGTCTATCTAATGTTAAGGCAGATTTCTTTTTCAGAGTGGGCACAACTGAATCTTGTACTCCTGAATTTTATCTTTACGTGTTTAAAAATACTGTAGTTTAACACCAACAGTCATTAATATTCAGTTATCTCAATGGCAATAATTTTGAAACAATGGCCAGTACTTTAGACTTTATGAAGCTCTGTATTTCCTACTTCACAACAGGAACCTTAAATTGTAATAATACATGTACGAGCACACTTTTATTAAAGGCAACCCAAAACACAAGTAAACAAATCACACAGAATCAGCATTCTGATTGTTTCAGAAAAGTTTCCTTTAAACTACTATACAAATTTCATTTGTCAGTTTAAAAAGAATTCAAATATTAAATCACTCAACAATATTTAACCTGAGATATGTTCTCTTGATTGCTTTCTTTGCCTGTTTTATAGTTTGGCCTCATTCTTTCTTGCAGATGAATAAAATCAATAGCTGCTCAATGAAAGAACTATGGAAAGTTGCAATTAAATAGAATCAGCTCCAGTGTACTTATTAGCAAATAAAAACTTGCAAATACCCTTTTAAGAAGTCTAGAATAATACTACATAAGAACTAATTTAACAGTAGCTACTTAAAAATGATGTTGACAAAATATCTAACTTTTCTGAACTGTATAAGCCAGATTATTAAAAACTTATTCTTACCCTGACACAGGTAAATTACCCCGATATAGCTAAGTTAAGAGTCTCCTCATAAAACCATTTAAAGAGATTCCTTTGTGCTCCAATTACTAATGTTTTTAATGAAACACAGCTTAGTTTGGTGCCTGACAGTGTTTATGCCTTTAACTTCATTTTAGTTAGCTAAGTATTTACATAAACAGTATTGTTAATTGAAGTATCTGGGTTTCAAGGCATCACTGTCTAATAGTGAGCACTGCAGGACAGCTGTGTACAACAGTTTTAATATATAAATTCTGTTTAGGTAGCAGACGAGACACATTAAAGAGTTCTTACAGACACCTTAAAATGTAGACTCAATTTATTTTCATGGGAAGTGATTGTTGCCACAAAACCAAAAATATTTAAAATAAATGTCATAAAATTTGGGGCAAAGTACTTTTTTGTTGAAAAATTTCCCTGATGACAGAAAAGCAGTAATAATTATAAATGGAAATTAGTTAAGAGTTAATTATATTCAAATGTTACTGGCTGTAGCTTAATGAAAAAGTAAAAAACACTCTAATGCAAAACTTTCGTGGCTAGTAATGAAATGATTACTTTAAAGGTATTTTTTAATTAAGATTTATAAAACAGAAAGAAATAAGCTTAAAAGTGAACCAATCCCTAAATTTGGTAAGCCAATCTTCCACTGACAATTTACTTTTCAAATCTGACAGTAGCTTTTGGTTCAGATTTGATCTGTTCTTGGAATTTAATTGGAACCTCGATTACTGACTCAGCAAAAGTAAAAAAAGAAAATCACACAGAACAAAAATAAGCTGATATAGATTTTAGTCTCTGCTATGAAAGCTGAAGTGAAAAATATATAATTGGTAGTGATGTCTAATATAAAGTAAAAACAAAGTATGCAACCAAAGCTCCCTTTCTTACTATCTGTGGACCACTCAAGAATTGTACCCATGAGCTTCGTCAATACCAAAGAGTAATGTTCAAAATGACTCATTTAACTAAATATTTTTGCAAACTACAACTGTAACGTGGCCTTTAAACCGGACCAATTTCTTTGCTTTTTCTGGCACAATATCAATTATCTAACCTTATGCCCCATGCCTTGTGACAGCTCAACACCAATTCTCTTGCATTTTTAAAGCTGAATACTTTTCTATCAAGTTGTAATCACATACCAGCTGTTTCCCTTGCTGCAATATAGAGAGCAAATGTACAATGCAGGGTGCCATCTACTGAAACATGAATGCACAGACTGCCTAGGAAAAGAACAAGCCAGAGATCTAATGGAGGGAGAGTAACAAGCATTAGAACTGATGCAGTTCACAGCTCCACAGGGACTCCCCCAGCAATAAATGAAATTGTTTAATTGTTTCATTTGGTAACAACTATAGCTGAGTCCATGATGTGAAATAAGGTACAGGTTAGAACACAGAGAGTTAATAATTAAGACCTGTCAGAACCCCTAGTTTTACCTACTACTGAAATGTACTCCAGTCTGACTGTTCCTTACTTACACACTATTTAAAGGCCTTTAGCTGCTAAGAACACTTAAAGCCAAAGGAATTTTTCTATATGAAAGAATATCAAATGTTTCAAAGTTCTAATGAGGATTTTTACCCCACAAGCTTCTATTTATTTTCATTTGTCTTCAGGAAGTAAACAAAATTTATTTTTCTCCCTAACAAAAAAATCTTTCTGTGAAAAAACCGTGAATCTGAAAGACAGGAGGGTAGGATTAGACTCATGGGTTATGAAGTCTTCATGCTTCTCAAACAGTAAATAGACATTGATTAACTAATAATGTGAATCATTTCAAATTAACTCATTATTTGAAAAAAATGTGTAAGAGGTCTGTTTAGCGTCAGGTTAGCAACCACATAAACCTTAAAGAACTACGTATTACCGTAACTGAGAATGTAACAAGTAGGCTGAATGACAGTTTATTTTTAATATTTGGTGCAATTATCTACTTATAGAAAATTACACATTGTTATGTGTACATGTACAAGTTTTTAATGTTTGTTTCACATTATCAAATTTAATAAACCATCCACTAGAACACTGATATAAACAAGCTGTGACTGAAGGACTAAGCATGTAAAGCCATGCCATAATCACAACAGATCTTTATCATACTCATATTCAAAATTCATGTCCTTTATAACAGAACTTATATATTTTACTGAAAGCCTCAACTATGGATAGTCATTAATTTAAAGTGGATGTCTGGTAACTTAAAAGAGATTCGTATCTGTGCATGTATGATAAAATGTGTGTTCACACATAATAAAATATTTGTTAATGCAAAACAGTTACCTGCTGTGGTCCTCGGACAGCTTTTCCTGGGGAATCCAGTGAGGGAAGAGGGGCATCAGGCGGGTCCTGAAGTGGGAATGTATTTACATAGAACACATTATGGTCTCCAGCTGGCAAACACGGAGCTCTAAGATTTGAGGGTTTTGTTTTGTCAGTTATTTTAAGGTTTTGTGTAGCTGAAGCTATGGGGTCAATTCCCCGAATTTCAAATAAAGTTTCTTCTGTTTTACCAAAGTTTCCTGGGTTTTCTCTGACTTCCATATTAAATTTGTCCTGGCACACTGCCTCAGATGTGGCAGGGGTACGGATGTTCGGGGTCTCTGGAGTACTATGTAAGAAAGTAGAGTCACTGTCCATAGGTGGAAACTTGACATTGAACTTAGAAAGTGATTCCAAAGAGGTGTCTTCCTCATCTCGGCCCAGTCCTCTTGGTGTAACAACAGATGCGATACACGACGAACCTCTGTTTATATCATCATTAGCCTGGGGCTTAAACAGCGCCTCTTGTTTTTCTGGTTTATCAGTACACTGTATAGGCACAGAGCACTGTGTGTCTGCAGGGAAAAGGATACAAAAGGGAAACAGTCACACTCAAATCATTGAAAAAAATAGTTGAAACAGTTTTAGACAGAGGATTATTGTTTTTCTATTGGTTTATATACCAACAGAAGACAACTGGTATTTTATGCTTGCTCCCATCTTCCACGAGGATAATAGCAGTCTTCTGCAGGTGAACCAAACAGCAAACAGACTGCAAGTTAATTGCTTTGTCTTCTCCTAGGTTTTCTACTATAAGCTTTGCATATTGTTCTCGGTTACACTGCTTTACACTTAGAAAAATGCTAGTAGCTTATATGTTTACTTTGTAACAGAAGCCACAATTGTAAGTTTAAATATATATGTACATGAATATGAATAACTAGAGCAGTTATTATTTACCACCCGAATTAAGTTAATTCATCTCCCCTAATGTGTCATTAGGTATAACTCTAGTCAGTTTAGTCACTGTCTACACTCAGTGGTGTCAGAATCAGGAAAAAAGAAAACAGTGTAGGCAAAAGAGGTTGACATCTTGGAATGCACTTTAAGGAATTACATGTGAATATGGCTGGATGTGGTATTGCACACCTTTAGTCCCAGCACTTGGAAGGCAGAGGCAAGTGGATCTCTGAATTCCAGGCCAGCCTGATCTACATAGCAAGTTCAAGGACAGCCAGGGCTATATGGTAAGACCCTGCCTCAAAAAAAAAAAAGAAAGAAAACTAAAAGGATGTGCATGTGTGTATGTATCATTTTTGCATGTTTAGAAAGGCTCTTTTAACTGACAAGCAGATGTGAGGCGGGCACCAGAGCTCATTCATCATGAAGCTGTTAGAGAACAAGATCTCTAGGCTATAGTCAGACGCTGGCAAGGAGAACTTCTGAGGAGTCAGTTAGAGTGACAGGGATCACAGCAAATTAAATGGAGTTATGAGCTGTTAAGGAAAGACAAGAAGTCAGCAAATGTTGGCAGTATAGGAGGAGGCTAGTAAAACAAAAAATGCAGACTTATGGATTCAGAAAACACTAGAGTATAGAGCTGAAGAGATGGCTCAGGGCTAAGAGGACACAGGCCCTTCCAGAATACCAGAGTCCAGTTCCCAGAACTCACACTGGTGGCCCACAACCACCTATAGCTCGTTCCAGGGGATCCTATATCTCTGGCCTTCACAGGTACCCACATTCATGCACATACCCACACACCCATGGTTAAAATTAGGTCTTAAAAAAAGCCAACCAAAGCTACGGTGTAACAAAGGGCTAGAAAGAGCTATATTTCACAGTACCAAAGCAAACCAAAACACACCCAACAATTATCAAAGCACAGTCCTTGTTTATGATCCTGAGATACTAGAAAAAACAAAATTAGGTTCCACAATGCCACTTCAAGAAGTCAGTATGTTTGCAGTGTATTTGGTGGCTTATTTTTGTTTTTGGGATGGGGTCTCATGAAGCTCAGGCTGGCCTGTAATTTCCAAAGTAGGTGAGGTTAGCAACGGACTCCTGACCCTCCTGATTCCACCACCCAAGGACTAGAATTACAAGTGTGCAGTACTAGGCGTGCAGCAATGCATTTTATTCAATGGATTAATAGTCATTAGTGAGGTCATAAGAGTACAGGGTATATACAGCACTTTCCATAGTCTGTTTATGTTAGTAGCATTCAACAAATGCCAATTTCTTTATATTCTTTTGATCTTTAGGGTCTTATGACACTTAACTGTTGCCACAGCACATTCCAACACAAAAAGCCTTCTGTTTGGATATGGGGTGTAGTACAAGGCCTTCACCTTCTTTAGTTCATTCTGTAGCATTACATACACACCTCCATATCTCCCCCTTCCTCTCCCTCAAGCTGCCTCATTATGGCACCAGGTTCACCCCGAAACTCTCAGTCTCCAGCCTCGGTCTTGCTAGTGCTGTGGCTCCAGGCTTTACCACATGTAGCTCTTTGCTACTCTTACTTGTCCTTTCCACCTTGACCTAGACACTGACTCTGGATGGCTCTCCCATGATGGTTAGGTGCTCTCAGGACTGAATACCCTTATATTTACAAATAGACTTTCCTTCCCCCATCAAAGTGGATTCTATCACACCTGAAACCATGTTCTGCTCCCTGTTCACCCAGACATCCCACCTACTGCCTGGCACACATATGATAATGTATTCTTTTCCTCCCAGGCTCTAGAATTATAGTCCACACTTACTAGATATTCTGGCTGTGACTAGAAACAGTACAGTAACTGGGACCAAACTCAATTGTTTTGCAGGATTTCTTTGACCTCTGAGATTGACAAAGTCCATTTACTCTCAAGTTGTCACTTTCTTGGTAGTAGACTTGAGGATGGCAGGAAATGCTAGGAAACAGGACTAAAGCTCTGCAATACCTGAGAAGGAATAGCTTCTCAACTCATTTTCAGGAGAACAAGGTAAATGCTTTAGAATCTGCAGCTGCTGCTAATGGCAACGACTATTAACACTGATAGCACTTCCATGTGCCATGCACTAACTGTGGTATGTACATTAATTCACTTAATACTCAAAGTAATGCCAACTCAGGCACTATTATTATCTCTAATTTACATGTGAAGGAATGGATATGGAGAGGTTAACTCCATGGCTACTTCTAAGGCTGTGCATCTAGGGAAGCTAAATCTGGCACTAAAGCCCAGGTAGTCAACTCCAGAGTGTTGTCAGAGCCATTATGTTAAACTGAACGCACTGCCTTCTACACGGAGGGGATCGAGCTGGCAGAACTGTGGTTGGAGTGACTTTCTTAACAGTTGACCTAATCCCCCTTCAAGCAAACAGGGAAACATCAGTCAGCTGTAAGAAGTAGTTCAGTATCTTCTTTTGGAATAGCTAGCGGGTATAGGGCTTAGCTACATTAATGTAATTTGAGTTAATCTGTACATGTGGTAAGAGTAAGAATCTAAGATTCCGACAACTACTAGAAGTCTGAGCTTAGATAAAACCAAAGTCCATGAAACACTTGTCACCCCAGTACCTCACTGAGACACAAGCCAGAGAGCATGCAGCTTTTACAATTTGTTTCAATAACACTTAGTTTTCTAAGGAAATTGAGTAAAATGAAAAACAATTAGATTTCCAAATTTACATATAGGCTGTTTAGACTGCTTTGCCAAATTATCATGAATACTGACAAAAGAGCTGATGGTTGTCTATATGCTAACCCTATATTCTTCTTGTCTAATAGCCAATGAAAGAGAACCCTGCTTTTAGACTAGTAACTCTCCCCTAGGAAATGTTTGCTTAAACATACAGTTCTACCTTTATCCTTTCTCAGGGCTCCTGCCCCGAGTGAATGACCAGAAGAGACATGGTAACGACACATGTATCTGGAAACCCTGCACAGGTGTAAGTTTCTAAACTGTGTCTTCATTCTTTCCCCTAATATATAGTAGTAGATAGTATAGAGCTGTACTGTCAGGGCATAATATTTAACATCTTGTGTTTTGTTTGGACCAAGCAAAGCTTTACTCAATTTAATACAGATCTAAAACATCTCAAGAGTAATGTTCTACCTATTTGTGACACAGTTAATATAAGACATAAGAATAATGTTAAGCAGCTTCCGTGAGGAAGAAATTGAAGTTAAACACTCAGTGTTCAGGTTGACAGATACATACTAAGAGTTAGACTTATGCAATTTAAAAATGGTCAAAGTATTAAATAATTGATAATGGGTTATGTTCTCTGCATAACAAAGAGTGTATCACTATTACAATGTTTTGATAAGATGCTGATGTTCAAAGAGCATGCTTCTGAATTCTAGACACACACAGCTAGCCTATTTTAAGTGAAACTGCTTATTTCTACTATCTTCAGTCTCTGTGGAAGAACAATTGCTCATGAACATTACAAAAATTAAGATGGAGAAATTAAGAGTTCTTTATGAGAAAATTGGAAAATAGGAAGTGGGGACATAAAAATTATAACTATATACAAAGGTTGCTTTTCTTCCCCCTCACCATTTATTGGAAATAAATGCTGGTAGTGGCAAAAAGAGAACTTACATTATCAATGACTTTAAATGCTATGATGTGAGGACCATAGAAAAATCAGGATCTTCAATTAAGGATATGCTAGTCATCATTGTTGCAACATCTCCCAGAGTGTAAACTGTAAGTCATATTGCTAGAGAACTGCCTGTAGAATATCCCAAATCATAGATAAAAAGAAACTCTATCATTCTAAATGATCATTTGACTATCCTTTTGTTTATTGAAGTGTCTGGATGCTAGACTTAATTTCTGTACACACCACACACACACACACACACACACACACACACACACACACACACACACGGGGGGGCATGTGGCTCAGGTTTACAGTTCTAACTCACTGTTAGGTGGATTGCTGCAAGTTTAAGGACAGCCCACTTGACATGGCAAGTTCCATGCCAGCCAGACAGCAGGCTGAGACCCTACCATAATAAAAACAAAAACTTAACATGTGTGCAAAACAGATGTTCCTATGTGGTATTTTATACTCAATTTTTATTTTGTGCTGCCAAGAGAACTGGTTCTAAGTAAATGTGCACTCCACATTTTTATTCTTGAACCAGCTTATCAGAAACTATAACTAGTGTTTAATGACATATCAGGCAGAATTTATTATAAACAAATGTGATGTTATAATTTTAGTTAGCTCATATATAGTAGTGTTGCTTTAAGGTTACTTACTGACAAGTGAGTTAATGTTTAATATGAACCCCAATAAAAATATAGAGATGTATCCTATATTTTCAAGATGGTACTTCTCACTAATGTGATTGGTAGATTATTCAATTAAATCTATATAGCACCATATACAATGAAAACAGTGAAAAAGCAAGAATTCTATAATGTACAGCATAGAATTAATATATTTGGTCAACCATAAGGGGCAAAATGCATAGGCATTTGGAAGTATTTTTACATTAAAAATTAAATCAATTTCAACCAGTATAAAGATAAATTAAATCTTACCAATTGCAATATCTGGTATATTAAGTTTGCTTAAGTGGTCTTTCTGTGCCTTTGCTAGTAAGCATATCCTATGAAATTCTTCCTTAAGGTCCCAGAAAGTCTTCTCTATATTATCCCTAAAAACAAATCAATATTTTTAAATGTAAGGTTATAACTTCAAATGATTTTTTTATTGTAATTAAATATATACAGCATACTTTTTATGGACCACAGAAATATAGAGAAGCTAAATGTTAAAAATAAAATTTAAATTTGTAGAAAATGTCATAAGATAATCCTAATATTTAAAAAAGTAAACACAAAGCAAATGATAAAAGGTCTAGTTCATAAATGCACTGTGTGTTAGTGTATCTACTTATCCATATGTCATACTGATATTCTTTGTAAACATCACAAATAGAGTATTAATTACTCTTCACTCTGGTTCATATCAGGATTCATGCATGTCATTGTATGGCCACAATACAGGGCTTGTTGAAACAGGGGACTCTTGGAGAATTTGGCTTTTTAGATCTAGTTTAGTTTGTAATTACGTGATTTTCACAAGCAGGTCCACTCCAGTGATTAAAAGTCAACTATTCTTTTACAACTGTTAAAAAATTTAAAATATACAAAATACTGCATATTTGTAAGTCTCAAGTTGGCACAGAAAGATCTAGAACCACCTTTCGTGATGTATAGGGAGGCTGAGGTCCTTTGAGGGATCTTTTCCAGAAGAGACTTCTTGTCTTCTCACCTGAAGATGAAAAGAAATGACCACACTGTACATGCTTCCAAATTAAAAGGAGAAACACAGTACAACGTCCACCTAATGAAAACCAATCACATCAATGAGTGTGTGCTCTCTCTCACACACACTACAAGCAATTTCATACACCTAAAAATACAGTAGATCTTTTTTTTCTCTGAGATCAAGGAAAATGAAAATAAAAAATATTTTCAGTAATTTTCTTGATTACTGTCTCTAGTAATGGTAATTAAATAATTTTTTCACATTCAGATAATCAAAATGATTACTCTGATCACCAAGCACCTCTATACCTAGAAATTTAGGAGCAAAATGTTTCTGACACTTTTGTCCTTTGATATTCACTAATAATGGCCTATATATGTAAATCAATGCCTTTGCCTTTTGTTGTAGTTTTTAATTTTTTTTATAAATTTAAATTAGAAACAAGCTTGCTTCACATGTCAATCCCAGGTCCCTCTCACTGGCCTCCTCCCCTCCTCCCCACCAGGCCCCCCAGTCCCCTACTCAATCCCTACTCCGTTCCCCAGAGAGGGTGAGGCCCTCCACGGGGGATCTCCAGAGTCTCTCATTTCATCCAAGCCAGGGCCAAGGTCCTCCCCCAAGAGTTCAGGCTGAGAAAGCATCCCTCATTGTGGGATAAAGTCCATTTGTGTTCCAGGGATAAATACTGATCTACTACCCAAGACCCCACAGATTGCCTAGGCCTCCTGACTGACACCCACATTCAGGGGGTCTGGATTAATTCCATGCTGTCCACCCAGTCATCAGTCTGGGGTCCAAGAGCTCTCCCTTGTTCAGGTCAACTGTTTTCTGTGAGTTTCACCAGTATGGTCTTGACCCCTTTGCTCATCAGTCCTCCCTCTCTGTCACTGGATTCTAGGAGTTTAGTTCAGTTGGTATAGATTTTTTAAAATAAGAAATGAAACTGTAACATGAGAAGTAACCAAACTACAGTTCCTGCTTGTTTAATAAGCATCTAAAAGGCTTATAGAGATAATGTATTATGTATTTGGGCTGCTTGGATACAAGTCCTTGCCTTTCACTCCCACCTTGTGGCCTATACTGGAATTACACATATTCTGACACTGAAAATTGATATCCACAGAACATATTATGGTCATGTATTCTATAGCTCAGTTAAAAATACACAAAACCTCATATATGGTAAGCTCTTTGTGCTTTCTGAAGCCATAAGGCAACAAGTTCTGAAATATGAATAAGTCCTAATATTATATACTCATAAATTATAATTTAGCCCAAACTGTATAATTCTTAAATTCAAATTCAAGCCATTTTTAGACTTTTGGGTGCATGCAGGAACAACTGGCAGGGGTCTGTTCCCTCTCTGCCATCTGGGTCCTGGGAAATGGATGCATGTTTAGCAGTGAGTGCGTGTGCTCACTGGGCCATCTTGCCAGCCCAATCTTGAGTACCTTTTGGTTTTATTCAATTAGTGTCACTGCTAGCTATTAGGGATATATTCACTTTTATTATTTTTGGTTATGTGTATCCGTGGACATAAGTGCAGGTGTCCGTGGAGGCCAGGTGCCCCAGAGCCCCTGAAGAGGAGTTAGTGCTTGTAACAGCTGAGCCATCTCTTCAGCCCTCATACCAAAACTTGCATGGTATTATCAAATGTACAATAACAAAGTCAAAGGAGACATACACTATAACAAAATGCTTGATCATTTAATATTAAATTATAAAAAGGGACTATAATGAATGGAACAACTTCCTTTTAAAAATTGCCATTACAAAGTACAGTAGTTATTTTACTAGGAACTAAAAAGAACCCAAAATGGCCAGGCATTAGTGGCATACACGTTTAATCCCAGCTCTCGGGAGGCAGAGGCAGGTGGATCTATGTGAGTTCAAGGCCAGCCTGGTCTACAGAGTGAGTTCCGGGACAGGCTCCAAAGCTACACAGAGAAACCCTGTCTCAAAAAAACCAAAACCAAAAAACAAACAAACAAACAAACAAAAAACAAAACAAAACCAAAAAAAAAATAAAACCAAAAACAATATGTAACCTAAAACCAAAAATAAGTTACAGAAAGTGGTAATGGCAATATCCTATTTTCCAAACCCTGATTTTTATATAACTAAGAGTGACTGTTTCTGGGGCAAAAGATTATTAAAAACCAACTGGGACTGACAGGGAAGGGGTGAAAGAAAAGGTAATAAAAGAATTATAGGGGGCTGGAGAGATGGCTCAGCGGTTAAGAGCACTGACTGTTCTTCCAGAGATCCTGAGTTCAATTCCCAGCAACCACATGGTGGCTCACAACCACCTTGAATGAGATCTGGTGTCCTCCCCTGGCATGCAGGCAGAAGACTGTATACACAATAAATAAATATATAAATAAATAAAAAAAAGAATTATAAAATTTTGTTTAGTTTAGAAAATTATTGGTGCCAACCTTCCCTGATGTCTAGATTTGATAACATGAAAAAAAAATCATTGGGTATACTGGCAGGGGCAAAGGGGGACTCAGGTAACTCAGGGATTTCTACTACATATCTAAAAATTAAAATCTTTTAGTTTAGGATAAAAAATACAGCTTTCCTAGTTTTGTTATTATTGTTAAAGAAAAAGTCTTGCCATATCAAGCAGTACCCTGCAGTTTCTACCATTCATACTACATCTGTTAATATGTGGCAAGTGAACATCTTTCCCCTTGAAGAGGGCCTGGAACTCACTGTTTAGGCTGTGAGCTCATCCTGTGTTAGCCTCCAGCTAACACAGCTGTGTGCTGCCACCTCCATCCCTCATCTGAAAACTTCAGAATCCCTAGCATGCAATGAAGAATTTGAAAAAGGAACCTTAACATTAACTGGAAGATAAAAACACATGTGGTTGCTGAAGATGTTCTGAGACAGAGTAAAGTTAGAATGAGCACAACATGTTAATACCATTTCCCACTCAAACAACATGACACAGCTTTCTGGAGACAATCATCTATTTTTGAAAGGATTTAGGACTAATGTAGTCGATGGAAACTTAAACACTTTCTTCAACACAGACTTTCTTTTTAATGTTTTCCCCCCTCCTGCCTCCCTCTCTCTCTGATGTGGTCGCCTTATGTACCTTAGGTTGTCTCACCTCCCAACTACAGGATTGTGTGTGTGTGTGTGTGTGTGTGTTTGTATGTACCAGCACATCTTGCCTTCATGTTATCCTCTTTAATGATGGCTATTGTTTGCTGTATATACTAAAGAGGAACTTAAACTAGAAAGATATAACTTGTATTTTTCCTTTCAGTCTCAAATATTACTTAGTGGATTTTCCACTACAGGAAGCTGAAATTATCTTAATTTCAAGTAAGAAAGCAAGATAAATATGAACACTTAAAGAGATTTTATGTGTCAAGTCATTCAACACATGAATTTATTTTGAGGCATAAAAAACACAACAGTGTGAACTATTTCAAGTTCTATGCAACTAGTGTGTGTAGCTAGTGAAGTGAATGCTAAAGGAAGACTTACATGTCATATTCACTCTCCATAGAGATAAACCCTCATACTGAACCCATTAAGACAAACCCATCTGAAAGCTGAAGATGGGAAATGGCCCTGAAATGTCCTTGTGTGTGGACCTGGACAACCTTAGTGTTAACCTATTAGTTTTTCATAGGTGGGTATCATATAAAAACATACATGTCAGAGCCAGAGTATTTGGTGATACTTAAAAGAGGAAAAAGAAAACATCAGCTACTCTTCCATCAGTCCAAAATCCAGTTTATTCTTCATACAGAGACAGTGGAAAATTGGGCATGTAGCTCAATGATAGAGCAATTGTCTAGCATGCCCAAGACCTGAGTTGTGTCCCTAACACTGTAAAAAAGACAAAAAGGTAATTAAAAATGTTTTTGTGTTGTGTTTCAGAAAGTACTAGATATCATCCCTCTAAGAAAGGAATGGACTTTAGCTGGGATCCTTATGTGCAAAAATAATGCTTACTTTCAGGTGCTTGGGCAACTTAGTGGAGTCAATACTAATTCTTATCATTTCTGAATTATGTTCAAGAAGACTTTTCTTTTAAAACAGAAAGAAGAGAACTACTTTTTTTTTTTTTTTAAGAAAGGGTTTCTCTGTGTAGTCCTGGCTGTCCTGTAACTTGCTCTGTAGACCAGGCTGGCCTTGAACTCACAGAGATTTACCTGTCTCTGTTTCCTGAGTGCTGAGATTAAAGGCATGAACTGCCATGCCTGGCCTTTTTAAAGAGAAAGGCCAACTAGGAATTGGCTATGTAGACCAAGGTGGTCTTCAATTCCCAGCCAGGGTCCCTTCTACCTTAGCATTCTGAGTACAGGTCCATGGTAGAGATCTACTTTCACTTTGAGCAATGTAAATTAAGAAACACACCTAGGGCAGAGAAAGGGTTGATAAAGGATGGTAAACTATGAGACTATAAATGTGAGCTGGGTATAACTCAGCATGGATAATGGAAACACAAATAGTGGAAAAAGAAACAGAAAACAAGGCACTTTCAATAGATTTTTTAGAATTTAAAGAATTAAATATTAAAAGACCAACTGAGGCTGGATATTTCCATGATCTTCAGACATAGTGGAACAAAATTCATGCCAATGTCAAGTATCAGATTTAACTGAACTAAGGAGAAAGCAAAACAAGGGAATTAAGACCCAGAAAATAGAACCAGAAAAAAAAATGCAGAAAGAAATGAGATAAGCATAAAAATAGAGGAATTGTAATTGATCTGCACCAATTTATGTACATGTAAAATCTATGGCTCTTTCACCCTCATTAACATTCCTGAAAATACAGCATATAAGAGGAGCAAAATACTAGGAGCTTGGTCTGTTGTACACGAGACAGTGTGCTAGGCAAACCCACTGCCAGTGTGGGAACAATTCCAGGGCAAAATGGGATTCATCCCAGTGTTCTGAAGGAAATGGCAAGAAAATAAACAATATAAAAATAAAACTAAACACCCTAATTACTTCCAAGTTCTTTACAGGGTT